AGATCCCCGCAATTTAACCCAATTGCAAATTGGGAGCAGATGTCGCGCGTATATTTCTATTACCAGCTGCAGAATGTCCAACACCCTCATTCTGGAACAGGTATCACACAAGAAATCGGTAAGAAATGAGTAAACATGTTGCATCTTAAACCTTTCTGGACTTAATGAGGAAAACGGTGTATGGAGTCTTAGAAGCTTACCCTGTACCACCTGAGCGCCAGCTTCCCTGAGGGAAACTTCGGGCGGAACTAGCTAATAGATGGTTCGGTCAGTGGTGTTTGATGATTTACCTGCTCTATTCCACCTGAAAGTTGGGGCGGAAGAGCTCCGACGGACCAATTCTGAGGAGAACTCCGGGCAGAACTAGCTAATAGATGGTTCAGTCGGTGGTGTTTGATGATTTACCTGCTCTGCTTAGCCTAAAAGTTGGGGGCGGAAGAGCCCCAACGCACCACTTCGTCCTGTCTCTTTACCAAGCCTCTATGAGGTCAATGATGCAGACTGGTCATTTGGAAAAGAGGACGCTCCCCCATTGGCCTCTGAGTGCATTCTCCCTCTGGTGGGGCAAATGTCTAATTTCCAGCATGTTAGGGCTCTTAACGATTTTTACAACTAAGGAGCATATCTCACTCTCGGGTTTTGGGCGTGTAATTTGTCTCGTACATCTAGTACACACGTACATGTGCAAAACACGTACATCCTGGAGGCAGTGTCCGTCAGGAACGCATGCACACGTACAGCCTGCCACCATGTTACAGAGATCCGCACCAGGAACCGTCGCTTTCACAGGCAACAAATAAACTTGGTGAAGTACTCACAGAGAAGTATGTGTAGACGGGGGTGTTCGCTTGAGGTAGGGCGTCCACAGCGCTGCCACTCCCGGAACTCTTGCCGATAGTGCTGACCCGCCAGCGCCCTCTATGCAGTAAAGGTGGCGCGCGCACCGTGGTCGCACGCAGTGCTTACGGTGTGCAATACCCCTGACGTTCCGCAGTTAATGGCCATTGCGCGGTACCATAGCGAGTGAGCCAAAATCATATCAAAACAGTTCTTAATTCGTTGAATTATGTGAGCTTGATATTACCTTATAGAGTTCGGCCACTCCACAAAAACACAAAATTTACAACCATTTCACCGACCAAATTCGAGTGGACTTGACAGCCCGCACACCATTGTACGAGGTCAGGTGGGGGTCCGGTCAAGCCCAGGTCAGGCTATCTTAGACAGCTATAGCGCACCACCTTAACCCTTTAAGATCATGGGCCCCCAGCTGGGCGTTTGCGGTGAGCTTTGCTGCTCATTGGCTGTTTGAACCACCGAGACCGGCCTTAGTTGGGGTCTACACAAAGATGACAGGTACCTTTTGGTGTTGAAAATATTACTTACGTCAGGCCAAGAAAGGTAGGTTGAAAAATCGATTTTGGGGGGAGCGTAACGCCCCACCAACTACCCAGCTGATCTAAATGCATGACTTCACCATTACAGAATGTACTTGCCACCATAACCATAGCGCACCATCTTATAGTGCAGATTCCTTTAAAACGCTGTCAAAACTTCGAAACCATTTAATTAGAAGCTCGAAATTACTGGTGCCGGCTTAAATTGGCAGCAATTCTGTCAGCGTGCTGTGTTAGGGTTGTGACTTGACGAAACATAGTCTCCGATCGCACTTTAAGAAAGAAACATAAATTTTGAGCGAATTGACAAACCATTTTTTGAACACTATTTTAAGGTACCTAAAAAAGACAGAACGGTAAAGCATACCGCCCGACGTGCATTATTGTTCCACGCATCGAGCGAACATTTCAAAACTTATATAAATAACTTAGATAAATAGAACAAACAAAAGCTGATTTTGAGTTGTTTTTTTTTGCCTTTAGTTTTCACTTGAAGAAAGTGCTTTGCATTTGTGTTGGGTTTTTAACTGAAGTCACATCAGCATTCATGACGTCATAATAGCGTCATTGAAATCCTGTCATTCCATAAGCGGTGATCGAGGCGAAGAAAAATATGATTGCCGAGGCGCACATATTTGGCAATCGTGAGCTTGCTTTCCAGGTATACCGCCGTCAATTCTCAATACGGCTCTCAACCAATGTTATGCATGGTACGATGACGTAATCGAACCATAAAGCACTGAGGAGCATATTTAATAAACTGAGCATTGTACTGTTCAAAACAACCTTTTCAATTAAAAAATATACCATTAGTTATGGGCACTGTTTCACCCTATATGATGCTTGCTTCAATGTCCAACTGTGGAAATTTAAACATCAGTTGTGAAAACCTTTTAAATTTTCGCAAAAATCAATTTCACGTTGTTCATCGTGAAAAATGATCCAAGGGAACCTTTGCACGTCTTAGCTGCCTTCTAAGCTAGGCATTATCCAACACAAATGACGGAAAAAGATTAGACTTTGGTAAGTGGCACTCGCGCAGCTAGACCTTGAGCAAATATTTTATCAAATTATATCCTCCCACTGTTTTCTTTGGTTCTTTTTGCATTGTTTTCGGTGGCCTAGGGTTCAGGGTCTTTGGTCATACAAAGAACGCTTTTCTGCCATACTTGTTCAGTCAGAGTCTATCAAACATAACTTTATAATCGTGCAAAATGATGATAGCATGCATAACGCCATGGCGAGCACTACCCTATCCGATAATCCGTATTTACTAAAAAAATCGCTTCGTGCTAAGTCTGCGAAAAACATGATGTGCGGGAACTGCCAGTCGCAACTTTTATTGGTATGATGTACCTAATAATCTACAGAGTTCACCAATGTTACCTGGAAAATGCTGAGAAAAAAATCATTTTGTTCCGTTCCTGAGGTAAGTGTTAACACGCGCTTGGGTCAAATTGGTAGGCCCAATGGCCCAATGGCTTTTCCCGGAATGGTTTGCGGACGGCATTTCCCGGAATGGTTTCGCATAGCTGTAGACAATTGAATAGCGGATCGTCTGGTGCAAAGCATTTAGATGCATCCTGTAACGTCGCTAACCTATGGCACGTCAAAGTCAGGCCATTGTTTCAACGGAGGCAATTTCTAGGGAACCGTTCAATCTGATCAAACAACGGATTGCTAGACAAATCCATGCATCTCTGAAATACTTTCTAGGCAACACAACAATTGAATGAACAAATAACATTGACCTAGGGCCAGGTATGAAAGTCAGCCCAAGGTCAAAACCAATCTGTTTTATTGCTCTACGGCTTGCTGTGTGGGGAAGTTTCTAGTGCTCATTTCAAACTTATTGGTATCAGGAACCGCATTATGCACCTTCCGTTGACGTCTTAAAGGTCAGAAAAGGTCACTTACCAAATATAACCCAGGGCTTTTAGGAACATACTGCCTAGTGTAATCTTTGGCGCTCATTCAAACGCAAAACTCCAAGCCGTCGTGTATGATTTTGTTCACCATGACCTTCAAAAGGTCAAGCAAAATAACTGACCTTAAATGAGCATGTGACCTTTTGCTTGTAACAGTTATCTAGGTTCTAGGGGCCCCTCTGGAGTCAAACCTGGAATATGACCTTATTTGGCCTTATTTGACCCAGGGGTCACAACCCAGAAATCCCAAACTTAAGTGAGTTTACTTAAGTGACCTAAGTGAGCTTGCGTGCAGGTCAAAACACCCTGCGAATTTGGTGTCTCTCAAACCCTTAGCTCCCAAGATCTCAGCGGGGGGAGGTTCAAATTGACCCCCCACCCGAGCGAAGGCTATCCAACCTGCCACTCGGGCGCGTGTTAGAACTGCTCATAGGGAGGGATCGCTCCTCATAACCTTCGTGGTGTTTAATTGTTCGTGTGTTTTGATAGCGACAAAGTTAATTCGACAAGTTTTTGTGTGGAAATATTCGGATATAGATTGTTCAAATTTACAACACTAGTGGTCTGAACTCAGGGTGGCTTTATGCATCACATATTTTTGCCTAGGCTATGAGCTATTTGGCCATCCACAGAACGTCTCCCTATTTACGTTGTTAGCTGACCTAGAAGCTGTCAAACATATCAGTTTGACGACAAATTCATCGATTTGCTTTACAGGGGTTATAAACCCCGTAGCTGCAAACTGATATAAATCTAATAGACAAAATATCTCTACTTGTGAGAAAGGACACCTCTACTCAATCATTTGAATCTTTCTTAATATGTCATACCCCTCATTGTTCGTATTGAAAGACATACAATATGTAAATATCAAACGCGTTCTTTATTACGACTAGTAGTGTGCCAATCTCTCACATGAAGTGGTCTACAAAGGGATCAAGCTTGTTTGGGATACATATAGTGGATCAAAGCAGAGCTCGTCTAGTCCGTATCGGGTGGCGACGGCCACTAGCAGAATCCGCTAGAGTCAATTTAGTCGCAGACTAGGACTTAACTCTAGGGCTAAAAAGAAAGACAGAAGTGTAATTTTGTGACAAAAAATTGACAGCATAATTTAGACACTATTTGAAATAAATGTCCTAATTATATCTTGCTAGTGTGCGTGACACTACCCAATGGTGTTATTAAACGCAACTGGTTCTGATGTTTCACTTTAAGTATTTTTTTCAATACATCCCAAAGAAAGAACACTCCTTCAACACGATATGGCTGCGCACTGCAGGAAATGGCCATGCAAATGGCTATCTCAGTTCAAAAACCCATACAAATGCGAACAGCCCTTTGAAATCAATGATAACCCATGTCAGAGTCGATCCCTATAACGGCAAGTGGGGTGAGAAGGATGTTGTTGCCCATACAGAGGGTAGGAAATCGAAGGACTTTTGCGAGACTTCATGATTGTCGATGGCCACGGAGGATCGGCGGACTTGAACAGCGGACAGCCCTCGATCACAGCAATGGGCCGAATGGGTGTGTTGTGCGCGGGTGGGCGTACGTCCCAGAATGAAGGCACCCAGCCGATCTGTCGTGCACAGATAGTGCAGAAATCGTTCACCAACATACAACACTGAGAGGATAGCCCATTGTTTTTGACGTGCATACTTGACGCTCAATGTTTTAAGTTAACATTGCATTTATTGAAACGACACGATTAATTCAAGGTACGCCAGGAGGAAGCTCGATTACTTGTTCATGGCATTAGCAAAGTGCGGCCGTGTGCCTCAAAAGCCACAGTGATCGGACCATACACGTGATAGGACATTTACGGTTCTAGAGAGCGTTGGAGGAAACGGACACAGTTGAACCGAATGAAAGTGACTAAATCGAGCAAACAATGGTCCTTGCTGCGGCAGTCTTGCCCTCGCACCTCTTCACACCTCACACCTCACACCTTGCCCTCACACCTCTTCGACGCCGCCGATCGTTTGCGCCGCGGACGTGCCCGTTTGGTGCGCACTCGTCCGGTGCGTTGGCGCGCCGTGTGATCCTGCGTCTGGCTTCTGGTTCGTCGGCGGCCACGCTGGTGCGCTGCGGCCGTGCGCAACCACCGGTCGCGCTCGACCGCAGGTCAAGGAGCGCCGCTGCCGCCGGGCGCCCGGTCAGCCGCTGGGCGCGGGGTCGCCGCCCTACTCGTGGATGGAGCCGGCCTGGGTCATGAAGCGCGTGCGCGGCGCCACGTCCGGCCGCCGGGTCTTCTGCAGCACTGACAGGCGTGTGCGCCGCTTCAGCAGCCGTGTCACCTCCTGGTCGTGTCCGGCCTGAAACACGCCGCACGAGGTCGGCACCACAGTGTGGCCCTCTGAAGTAGGCGGCGCGGATCGGTACATCGGTACACCTCCTGGTCGTGTCCGGCCTGAAACACGCCGCACGAGGTCGGCACCACAGTGTGGCCCTCTGAAGTAGGCGGCGCGGATCGGTACATCGGTACACCTCCTGGTCGTGTCCGGCCTGAAACACGCCGCACGAGGTCGGCACCACAGTGTGGCCCTCTGAAGTAGGCGGCGCGGATCGGTACATCGGTACACCCTCCTGGTCGTGTCCGGGCCTGAAACACGCCGCACGAGGTCGGCACCACAGTGTGGCCCTCTGAAGTAGGCGGCGCGGGTCGGTACATCGGTACACCTCCTGGTCGTGTCCGGCCTGAAACACGCCGCACGAGGTCGGCACCACAGTGTGGCCCTCTGAAGAAGGCGGCGCGGATCGGTACATCGGCGCCACCTCTTGGATATCCTCGAATACTCGGCGGGAATTGCAGATATGCGTATACGCTCTTGACCCTCATCTACAGAAGCACATGGTGGGATAAGCAGGCTTTGGGTTTTGGTTTGGGGAAGGGGGGGGGTGCAAAGCTGAAGACCTCTGGCATAGTAGTGAATACGTGAAATAGTGTTACAATCAAAGGAATGTGATGCCTACAATACATTTCGATTCAATGGAATGCCATCCTCACCAATGCCTTCTTCTTTAGATGGACATTGGTGTGAAATATGCACATAAAACACGTTGGTCGCACTAAAGGATACAGATGTTGTGAACCCCGAGTCGACGTAAAGTATCGCCGGGGAGATTTTTAAATATTTCCTCCATAAAATTCTTCATCCACTACCACTCTGCAAACGCCAGATATGTCGCGGAGTGTCACTGATGCAGGGCATCGGCATTAAGTGATATTGAATTGCGTCTGGATAGGAGCCGATCCAGGAATGCGCTGTGCTGCTAGGAGTCTCAGTTGAAACTAATCTCATGCGCCGTGAGTCAGCGTCATAATTGAAACCACTGGAGCGGAAAGAGGCAAGTGGCTGAAGGGTGGGCTACTTTCGCCGCTAGCTCCTGGCTTGGAATTAACCATCTATTTCTCAGCCACTCGACTTCCCTCCGAAGGTGTATCCGGCTACTCGACTTCCCTCTGAAGATGTATCCGGTTACTCGACTTCCCTCTGAAGATGTATCCGGTTACTCGACTTCCCTCTGAAGATGTATCCGGTTGCCCGCGGTCAGCCTGGGGCGTGCTTTGAATTGACCCTTTCAAGGGCGCGTGGACCTAACCCTCTCGTCCGCAACCGGTATCAAATCTGCCAAGGCGATTCTCTGCGTTAGTGCAGACGTTGCCGACACCTCTTAGATGCTACTAGAACTACAAAAGTGAATTCATTAATGTCGAGATAATAATCACCCGGTACGTTCGCCAGTTGCTGTTTGACGGTCGTGATATGAGAGAATGAGTTTCTGAACTGGTATGTTGGCCCCCTCCGTCGAGTAAGATGATAAAGATAACGCATAACATGATCAGGTATTAGAATGCTGTAAGTAGATCGTTTCAGATAGGTCGGGGTTTAGCAATGAAATTTTGTACAGGAAACTTTGTAACTTAAAGTAATATTACGCCTGACGCAGGTCCGGGACGTGATAGGAACGCCGGATCCAGTCAGACTCCTACCAGTAAGACTCAAATAGCAGAGGAGATAAATTGTCCCAGCGCAGTGCTGCCAGAAAGCTCCAATGAGCAGAACTTATATCCCATTATAGTTCATGAAAATTATATTTACTGTACTGCAAGAGACAAACGAAACCTCACGTCGCAAAGACAAAATAGGCGTTTCAAAATATCGTTGCGACCTCTGAAATCGGATGCATGAAGACCATCACAGAACACAACTGTACTTCTGGATGATGACCATATGTCCGTTTGAAGGATGACAAGCTGAACACGAACAAAGGATAGAAGACTGGTGACAAAGAAAACACCAAGCCTCCAATGCGACACGCTACAAGACGGCAGTTTCCACCAAAGGTCGTGTGAGTGCGCTTCTGGGAAGGGGCTTTCAAACGAACGCCATGAATCAATGTCTACTATGTAATGAGTGTCTCATGATACTTGCAAACTTCACATAGCAACGCCACACTTGTGAGGAAATGATTTTCGACCGGATCTCGCATTAGCACAATATGCACAGGGCGTTGAAGATGAACTGAGAAGAGTGTAAATACTATTTGTTGGGAAAGACGAAAGTCCACCAGCGATTCAGGAAGCCATATCTATCGAAAAATTATCGGGTGCCTCGAATTAAACGCGCAGCGATAGAGACAAAGCACCGAGCAAAGCAGCTTTGTCACAGCGAGTACGACCCAATTTGACTCTGAACCTGAAGAGTTGTGTCAACGCTCGACAAAGCATGTTCAAAAAAGGTTCCAACAACTGGCGCAAAATAACCGCTGCCGTCAACGCACCCGTAAGCCCAAATAACGAACTAGAGGGCAAGCAACTGCTGACCAAGGCTACACAAGCACACACACACACACACACACACACACACACACACACACACACACACACACACACACACACACACACACACACACACGCAGTGCGTGCGTGCGTGAGTGTGTGTGTGTGTGTGTGTGTGTGTGTGTGTGTGTGTGTGTGTGTGTGTGTGTGTGTGTGTGTGTGTGTGTGTGTGTGTGTGTGTGTGTGTGTGTGTGTGTGTGTGTGTGTGTGAGTGTGTGTGTTGTGTATGTTTTGTGTGTGTGTGTGTGTGTGTGTGTGTGTATGTGTGTGTGTGTATGTTTGTGTGTGTTTGTGTGTGTGTGTGTGTGTGTGTGCGTGTGTGTTTCAGACCCAAATTTAATCGCTCCGCATGAATATTTCAACACGCTTACCGTCCCAACAACGAGTTAATGGGCACTTTTTGTGTATCGTTGTCTCACACCGATGCACATAATGATGTTTTACCTCCTGTTTATTTTCTGCGTCATTTGCAGTGGCCGGAGGCATTTCACCTAATTCTACATTTCCCGGAGAAGCTTCCTTCGCCGTCTTCTTTGTCTCGATCTTGAGCTCTTCAGCCGCTGAAAACAGAAAAAAATGACTATAATTGTGATTCACTGTAAAATGCTGTAAAAGTAGACATGAGCTGTGTAGTCACGCAGTGAAACTGCTGAAGCAACTGTAATTTCTGTGTGTGGCGATGGTCGACTGCCATGCACCGCACTGTGCCTCCGCATCCGTTTTGCACCGCGTGCTACGCCTCGCGATCCGTTTCGCACCCCCACGACACACGCCGCACTCAACGCCGCACCTCCGTGCCACGCGCCACGCCTACGCGCGTCGCGCTGCAGAACGACTATGATATCACTCGAGTAATTACATGAGAATGACTGCGCCGCAGAGCGACTGTGAGATCACTCACGTAGTCTCATAGTCACGTGACCAATGAGGAAAGAATGACCGAGGCCAAAGATCACTGGAGGTGGCGGTGCACGGTGGGGGGGGGGGGGGGGGGGGTCAGGCACAAGCTCACTGCTTCACTGCGAGGTGGGAGCTGCGCCCAAGCAAGTAGGCACATCACGCATTCTTGGCAGCAACTGAGGTTGACGGTAATTGCAGTCCGCGTTTAGACTTCCAGTTGTGGGGGGACCACTTACAGCATCTTCCAGTGTTGGGTTGCGAATCCTGGGATATCGCTTATCGCGTTGGCATATTTGCCTGATTTGTGACATGTCAGCACAGACACGATCAAAGTCTACAATCAGCGATGTAGCAGCTAGCGTGGTAGTCCCCATCTTACTTGCGACTCTTGTGAAACATTATGTCACAGACCGGTCTCGACGACATCAGTATTACTGTGTGAAAATAGGGCTTAACTAACATACAACCCAGCTGAAACCCGCTGCTTCATGTTTCTTTCATTCCCTACCTTAGCAACCAACTGGTTTTGTCAAAGAACTAATGCGGTGACTAAACTAAGGTCGGGTGATCAGTTCACAGTTCGTGACCAGTTCACTGGCTGTTGTTTATTTCAGTTCGGTTCGTTTGTGAACGCTTGCGACTTCGCCGCCTGCCGATCTGTCGGCTGTTCCAGAACACGCTATGTTCTCAAACAATCAGCAATCTGTTTTCGAACGTACTGCGTCATTATTTTATGCAAAAGAACACGTGACCCAATCTTGGATCATTATTCTCCTGCCTTTTTGATTTCACAGAATTTCACATCCCAATTTTCAGGGGGTCTGGTTATAGTTCGGGTATTGCAGAGCAAGAGAGAGAGAGAGAGAGAGAGAGAGAGAGAGAGAGAGAGAGGAGAGAGAGAGAGAGAGAGAGAGAGAGAGAGAGAGAGAGAGAGGAGAGAGAGAGAGAGAGAGAGAGAGAGAGAGAGAGAGAGAGAGAGAGAGAGAGAGAGAGAGAGAGAGAGAGAGAGAGAGAGAGGAGAGAGAGAGAGAGAGAGAGAGAGAGAGAGAGAAGAGAGAGAGAGAGAGAGAGAGAGAGAGAGAGAGAGAGAGAGAGAGAGAGAGAGAGAGAGAGAGAAGAGAGAGAGAGAGAGAGAGAGAAGAGAGAGAGAGAGAGAGAGAGAGAGAGAGAGAGAGAGAGAGAGAGCGAGAGAGAGAGAGAGAGAGAGAGAGCATTTCGGCTTCAGGTCGCCTGCCGTTGCTGATATTGGTCAGAAGCGTGTTCGTACCCGTTGGCCTTGATTTGCATGGACCGGCATAAGCAGAGGCGTTTGCTGAACATATTCTGGTCATGTGGGTTCTAGGTTTCTAATCGTCGCTTTGGTGCTAATCTCAGCAGCTTGGCTGGCGGCGTGGGCGCACGGGAAATTGAAGAATGCGTACACTATACGTAAAGTGGGACCACCGGCATTAAATCGGCGGAGAAGAGCGAAATGAAAGGCTCAGACGTCATGAGCAGTATATATATATATATATATATATATATATATATATATATATATATATATGCAACAAGCACGTGTTCTTAGAGCGGAATATGCTTATTCAAATGTTCTCTCCTATCGCGCCGTTGCTTTCTGTGCGATGCTGTGCGTGACTAGATTGATAATGTTACGATATGGGACTGGAGGGGAATAAAAGACATGATCTAAGCCTAGTTTCAAAAATATCACAAAACACGACGAATTTGTCCAAAATCTGCGGTAAACTTGACAACGTAACTCAAATAATGCTATTTAACGACCAAAAGATCAAGGAAGCATTCGAATAATTCAGAAGGACTAACGTGGTGGACAAACGAAAAGGAGCTGCAGACAATATGTACAGCAAATACAAGCTGTAGGTCAGCTTTTTAATGATTGAAGGAAGTTAGGACGTGGAAACGAAGGGCTTGGGCAAAATGAAGGGCGTGACCATTCGGTGTTGCGTTAACTATATGGCCTGAATTCGGTAGCTGCGAAAAAATCATATCCGGCATGCACTGCGACGTGTTGGTATCATGTGTGACACTTGGCGCACCAGCACGGCGCACAGCACAGCGTGGCACAACATGTACTGCCCTCTACTTCAGTCACTCTTCACTCCTAAAACGATTCATAACGCAGTCAAGGCATACACAGTGAAAAAGTACACAGGTATTCGTTACAAATGCCCGCAGGGATTTGTTCACGCTTTTTGCAGGACGACCACTGCATGTAGTCTATTTTGCGTCAGGAAAAAAACCTGGACGGAAGGTCCGTCATAGCAAATGCGTCGGCAAACAAACAAGCTCTTCTCGATATAAGCGCAATTTTACATTTTGCCTTGGCGACATGCACGCTGCGGCAGACGTTTCGTCACATCAAACTGTTCGGTATTCCCCAACTGTCAATGGGATAAAGGGCGCTTATTATGCTGTTTTGCACATGCTCAGCTCAGTGTTATGACCTACTGTAGTAGTGCTCCTCGTAGTTCTGCAGCGGGTCGATGCCGAAAAAGTCGGCCAGCTCGTCTGGGTAGCGGAAGTCCAAGAAGCCCACCACCAGACCAACCAGAACGCAGAATAGCCCTGCAACAAACCAACCGAGGGAAGCTATCGATCGGGGTGCATTCAGAAGATCCTACGGAGCCATGCGCCTCTCTTAAGATGGAGAAAAACACATATCCCGTTAGGCCTGCTCCATGCAGGATCGTCGCTAGATTCGAAGCACGGCACATTTATAGGCTCTATTTTGGCCCCGCCCTGTCCGTCGTCGCCCTGCAAAGGGAGTGGGAGGGTGCCGCGCGAGATTGATGCTGGACCCGCCATGCCCGTCGCCCTGCAGAGGGAGCAGGAGGGTGCCGCGCGAGATTGATGCTGGACCCGCCCTGCCCGTCGCCCTGCAGAGGGAGCAGGAGGGTGCCGCGCGAGATTGATGCTGGACCCGCCCTGCCCGTCGCCTTGCGGGGGGAGCGAACGGGTGCCGCGCGAGATTGATGCTGGACCAGCCCTGCCCGTCACCTTGCAGAGGGAGCGAACGGGTGCCGCGCCCTGCAGTGCGTGCCGCTCGGCCGCTCGGGACCGTGGCGCAGCTGCTCACCGTTGACGAGTGTGAGCCAGAAGTGAACGCCGTACGAGGTGCGCAGAGCGCCATCCTCGAACGGGATCACCAGCGGCACGGGGTTTCTGACGCTCGCCCAGATCACGCAGCCGCAGATTTGCAGCAGGCCCGTAAGCAAGGTGAAGAAGGCGCCGTAGTGCAGCACCATGAAGTAGAAGATGTTGGCCATCAGGTAAGTGGGGAACGCCGCCCTGCAGGAGGGGCATAACTGCATTAATGAAAACAATAACTGCTAGTCAAATTGTGCCCGTTCACAACCTTTACCTATCGTCGGACGGCAGCTGCTGTCACTAACGTGCCAGGCTAGAACACAGTAGAATAGTCTCGCTTTGCTTGAGAGTGGGGGAAATAAGACCTCAAGTCATATCTTGACATGAAGAGCCATGAGGTTTCCACTTCCACTTCCTCAGCACACCTGATCCGCCGTCCCTGCTAGGGAGTTGTGAACACCTTTCGCCATTTGGTCCGTAGTTGAGATAGTGTTATCGAATGGCTCCGGGTTTCTGGTTGCTAACTTACAAAGGTTTTGTGGCTTACATTTCCGGTCGAAAATTGTGTTCGCACCCAGGGCAGAATGTAACGCTTTGTTCCAGGCAGGATGCAGCATTGGTACATTTACCAACAGTGGCTAATACTAAATATTGTATTGAGGATAGCTGGCAACATAGCACAAATGATATACAAGGTTGCGGCACTCAGGACACCTCAGCTGGCTGCCACAGCGGCGGGGGTTGGAGCCACAATGAGGCACGGTTGGAGTCGGAGACAATCAGAAGGGCGGCACAAGGATGGTCCACTTCACTCTGACGCGGTGCATGAAGTAAACAAGCAAGATACTTGTAAGCTTGCATCGCTTTTGTACAGCAGAGGATAAGAGCATTCTCGCCTTTTGTAGTGTCGAGGATAGGAGCATCCTCGCCTCATACCAACTAAAATATGCAGACAAACCTCGTCGGGCTCATCGCTGGAGAGGTCAGAACGCTTGCTTGTCAGTGAGTGAAGGCAACAAGAAAACAAGACGGCTAATATACCAAAATCATGACCTAAAACAGAAATGGCCTGGTCTTAAATGCTTTAAAGGATTCCTGAGCAGCCCTCCGCAGCACTCTATCCGGTCCCCCCCCCCCCCCTCCCCCCAGCCCGAAACAGCCTCTCAGGGGCGACGACCTTCAACAGAGAAAACGCGAAAAGCTTTTCAACAAACCGGTGATCGGTATGGATGGGCATGAGATTGAGCCGTGAAAGAGTATGAAACCTGGACGAAATGGGATGAATAGCCATTGAGACGCCAAGGGGCACGGTGGTTTGCAAGGGCGCCAGTTAAGTGGAAGGAATGACCCCGGGTGAACATGACCAGCTGGTCACGGTGTGCTTGGCCGTCAGCACCGCCGAGAATGCTGCACGCCCGATGTCCGTCCCCACGCAGACTAGGTAACACGAGCGGATCCGACGGAGCAGATGTAAGGCCCGAATAAAACACGATTGAGTGAACTGGAAGCACCAACAGGTCCGGCTGGATAATGGCGTCCAACCTTATTCTCTTCATGAAGCATTTCACCTGACTGCTACGTGTGGGGCTGGCCGTGCGATCAAGCGCCACACACACTGCCTTGAATTCCGCCCTGATCGCCGAAGGGCTCAACCCATGTACGCATACTGAAATGTATGCGTTTGTGCGTGTATGCATACGTGCGTGCGCGTGTGCATGCGTGCGCACGTGCGTGGGTGCATGCATGCGTGCCTGCGAGCGCGTGTGCATTTGCAGCAATTGACATGATTCCCTGTTTTAGCGCTGTGACACAGTCCTTGGATAGCCACGAGTCCTCCATGGATAGACCAACTACACGTCTATGCCTGTGTAGGATCTGTCCGTGCCTATGTGACTCGGTGGTGAGATTAAACCCGTTACGGTTCGAACGCTGTATACCTGCGGACATTGGGGCGCATAAGGAAAGAAAATAATTATCAAGACGTTTATATATTCTCAGCATTTAATACGAGTATGGCGCGCCTGCGACAGACGTTGCTAATAATTGGCGCTGAAACGGCGGGTGCTTTGTGCGTCCTGCATAACGTTGCCGCCGCTCCGGCTTCGCGCGTTGGAGTTGTGGACATGGTTTTTCAGCAGCAAGGAGGGACGTGTCTGGCGAAGATGGGTGAAAGGTGCGTATTGTTTCACACATGAATGCTCCTTCGATACCCTGATGCATCATCCAATCTTCCTCGTCATTTTTTTCACGGGTGAAAACATGGTATACTTACCGTGGAATTGCACGAGGTTAGATCAGTTAGTTTGATGAACCAAGGTCTTTGCGAACAAAACAAAATTGAGAATTTCTTTTAAGCATCAATTGGATCTCACACCTAACAGCATATCTGTATGCCTGCATTAACGAACATGTGCATACATTGAGTGTTTCATTTGCTTACACCATAAAGGCTGGCAATGTCTGATTTGCAACATACATCACCTGATCATAATACCAACACGCATGGCAACAATCTACATTCCAGCACTTTCTGGTCATGCCCACATCTAAAACTAAATTGATCTTGTACATTATTCTAGGGTCTACACATCTGAATCCTTTTGAACCTGACTTCTGGCTTCAGAAGCAGCACACTTATATGCAGGAGCAATGACTGGGATTCAGCTGTTGCCTGTTCATTGTTAATGGCCTCCAATAAGCAATGAATGTTCATGAATTATAATTTTGCATACTGCATGGAAGCGTTTTTAACAGGTTTGACAAAAGTATCAATACTATGCAACCTAAGGTTTCTAGCACAAGTTTCCCATGGTATCAGCACCTACAAAAACCCTCAGAATTCTGACCTCGCCATGCGGGAAGTAAGTCTGATAGAAATACTGAAGAAATCATAATGCTGTGATGGTGATCATATGCAAACAAAACATCAGGAACTTCAGCCCAGCGTGGTCTGGGCTATGCTGGCACACCCATGCACCAAACAGTCTGCACATTGATCTTACCTCCATGCCATTCAGCAGATGCCTTTTGCTGACTGCATTGTTGACCTCATTCAGCTGTTTGACAAGGCCTTATTCATTCGAGCACCTTTGGTACCACTGTACAATGTATGTTGACATTTTGCTGGATGCTACATTGCAGTAGGATGAAGTTGGTCTCTTTTGAGGGAGTATTGCCCACTGAACGTCCTTGTAATGATCATGCTTCTGAGCCTTGTGTCAGGCTTGCATTTCCCAACCCAACCGAATGCTACATTTCTTCTGGCCAGTACACAAACCTATGTTGGTGTTTGATTATCCATGGGAACTTCCAATTTTTTTAAAGACAATTAAAAGCAGGTATCATGTGTATCATGGCAAAAGTATCACCATGTGTTTTGACATTTCCAGTTTTCACTCTGTTGGATTTTATTGATGACAAACACTATTCATTTCTTAATTCCTTCAATTTTATGAACTTCATTCTTTTCAATGATGTTATAATGGAAAGAGCATAATACCAAGTCAATTGCATGTTCCACTGCATTTCAGTTGCTCTCCTGCATGACCATAAACATGACTACCATTTTCATCTCACAGCTCATGTGGTACAGAGTGACTGAGTGATGTTCATTTAATGCTTGTTTTTTCCTGAACCATTTTCCATCCTTTTCAGATGAAGAGTATCAGCACCCAGAAGTTCTATGGGACACCTCAGAATACAGTTATCAAATCATCTCTTGCTCTCGTTGCCAAGTCTTTAAACACCAAAATCTTCAAGGCTCTTTGTTTTCCTGTTCGGCAAAAAGCAAGGTGTACTGTCAGTGTGCCAGTTCTGTTTAAAGACCTTCATTACTTTGTGGTCAAAAGTGTGGACACTATCCTAAATAATAGTGAGACACACAAGCAAGGATGGCATGTGCGTTGTGTTAGTGCAGTGGGAGATACCAATAAAGTAGTGCCTTCTGAGTGCACTGTAAGGGTGGGGAAGATGAGAAAGGACAAGGAGTATGTGATGGAGGGTGATGTGATGAAAGAAAAGGAGAGACAACATGGGTATGAGCTGGTAGTGACCATGTGGCATAAGCGCAGAACTGGAGCCCTTACGCCCTATCTCCGTATTCTTGGCCACCACTGTCATGAAATTAATTCACGTGTGGGTCGCCTAGGTACCTTTGAACAACAAAATGAATTAAAACTAGATCATTTCGTGACCTCAACATATTTCAGTGCAGCAAACTTCAAACAGGCCCCAAAGCAGATCCTTTTGAGGCGAGCAAGGGTCCTGAATCACCTGCTCTGTGGGTCAAAGAAGGGCGCGTCCAATGCGTGAGTGTGCCGTGGCGGCTGTACATCGCAGGCAGACTTTCTAGAACGCTGCGAGGAAGCGCTGCCTCTACGGAGACGCGGCCAGTGACCCAGCCGCATGGAAGATGGTGCGACCGGGCTGGACAGCCACCCAAGCCGTGGTGTCGCCCTCGCGCGTAGGCGGGTCGTCGTGGTATCGGCGGCACCGCCGCCAACTGTTATGGTTGGCCTTCAAATTTGTGTGCAATAAAGAAACCTCGTTATTTTTACTGGTTTTCGTTCAGAACCTGGATTTTTGCTATGTCTGTTGATTCTACGGTTGTGCTGAGTTACACTTGCTATATTCTAAGCGCCATATTGATGAAATAAGACCTTCAATTTTCTGCGCAGACAGACGCGGCGCCGTGACCAGATTCGGACACGTTGTGCAAAGGGGGGAGGGGGGGGGGGGGCGGGGCAGCAAAGTGCAGTGACTATGCCGAACATTTTTTAATTTTCACATTCTCTGGTTCTGCTGAATCAGCTGCTGATGCCAGGGCCCCGTTATCCTTGTAGTGAAGCAGCTCACATCAATACATACGTTTATGCGCAAACACATTTGCACCTGACCGTTTTCATGTTTATGCGTAAAACCATTCACGCATATACATTTCTGCATTTATGCATGAATGTTAAAACTTGTAGACAAGCGTCGACCTGCGCACGACTGTCCTGTCACTGACAAGGACAGAATACGCGCACGCCACATCACGGACGTCCTGCGCGCAGGTGACATCCGTGATATCCGTTAGTTTAACTGAAATTCGCGACGACACACTAAATTACACCAGGAGATGCGTAACACCATCAAACGGGGAATTAAATTGTCTATCATTATCCGCCCTAGCAATGAAACGATATGATATTTTAACGACCTGGTGCTGCGTAATTTGAATGTTCCGCGTGGGCGCTCCGCGCGGCAATTGAGTTTACACGTGGCAACCATCTTGACATTGCTCTGATTTAATTACTTTGGCGACGACATGCTCAAAGCTTAACAACTATTTTTAATACCGTCATGTAAAGAATTAAATTCTGCACCAAAATATGGACTAGCAAATGATGATTTATGACTCCATGGCACACGGCGCACGCGCAAACACAAAATTTTACTTCTGAGACAACAACACTGCGGTAAACACACTAGTTCAATATCCTGCCACCAGGGTCGGCCGCGGCGCCACTAGTAGTCATGTCCGCTCATGGAACGTAACGCACTCACCAGATGACGATGTGGGCGTACCAGCCCGCCCGCATGTAGTGACGGCCGAAGCGGATGCCCTCGCCGTCGAGCGTGAAGTACTCGGCGATCCAGAGGATGGGCAGCGGAGCACCACGGTACTGCGCCTGCCGAAACTCGCGCTGGATCTCTCCGGCTGGAACAGGCACCAGGCACCCGCTCCAGTCACCCATAGTACTCCTTGGCGTAGGCCACGCCCCCTGGCTTGGCGCGGAGTCCTGAGTGCAGTGGTCTGGAGGTTTGCTCCTAATATCCTTGTAACATCGGCATGCGGCCCATTATGTGCACAGAAACACGAGGTTGGTGCGCAAGCGTGCTGGTGATATGCACTCGTGCTTGCATCACGGTCCCGTCTATCCTGCGGCGGACGGCTTCACCGGAGACCATCGGTGAGGCGTGCAGGTGACGTGTCGGCAAGGTGGCCATGCAGCCAACTCACCGAACGGGCCGAAGCCGAGCCGACCCTGGCCCCAGCTCCACCAGAAGCGCTCGTTGTAGTTGATGGTCTCGCCTGTCAACTCGTGCGGCACGTCGTCCTCCGGAACTGGTGGCAGCGCAGAGCGGTGAGGAAGACACCAGCACCGCTCCCCCTCCAGCCGCCAGTCGGCGTACCCGCCGAGCGCGGCAAGCGGCGCTCGCTTATGTGCAAACACCGCCATTGTGACGCAGGTGAGACGACCATTGGGCAAACATTGGCTGGCGCTGCTGAGTTATACTTGACAATCAGCTTAACGCAGGTGAGACGACCACTGGGCAAACATTGGCTGGCGCTGCTGAGTTATACTTGACAATCAGCTTATGCTTAATCGGACGCACAGAACAATCGTGCACGTCTCAACGGACACACAGAACTTGAATGTGTGCGCACGGCCAAGTTTCACGCAGCAGCTGAGACCACGGTCTCATCATGAAAACTGAGTATTGACGGGCCGTTTCTGAAACCATCAGGCTTTCGTAAAGAATGCCCTCTGGAATCTTGCAATGTTGTTACAACTTAACATCAGCGCTACCCTCCGTGAGACTTTAGTGAAACCATCAGCTGGCCGATGCACAGGATCCCAATGCTGAAACCAACATTATTTCCATGTTGTAAAATCTTATACCTTACATATGGCTTTACGTTCGCCCCATTTATTTCATACCTAAAACTGATGCTACTAAGGCTAGTTTGAACGAATGCGATCGGTTCCTGTCCGCAGTCCTGTGCGCAGTGGCCACTTCATGGGTGACATTTTTTGCGTCGGGCTTTCTCTACTGTTTATGGTTTTTGCTACTTGGAAAAGTCCCCGCAGGAAACGTACAGAGGAGGCTGTCCCTGTAGTACATAACAGTGTTTGTAGACCACCAGTCTACCATATCTGCCACTAGAAGTAGTTTGCATTCAACACATACCACACGTGTACGTTGCGACGCTGACAGACATGGCTGGCGTTTACATCCTTTTGGCAGATGGCTAGTGTTTACATCCTTTTGACGAACGCTGTCTCCACGCCATTCAACGTGAGTCGCGTTGCAAAGGAAGAACCGATTTTAAATCTTATAGTGCGCTCAAGCGACTTTCAGAGCTTAACGTTTGCAGGAGGGTCGGGGCTGGGCACAGGCAGGGTCGAAGTTGGGCACAGGCAGGGTCGAAGTTGGGCTCAGGCAGGGCCGAGGCTGAGCTCAGGCAGGGCCGAGGCTGAGCTCAGGCAGGTACACGTCGGGCACAGGTTGGGCCCACGTGTCAGCTGGCTCTCGGGATGCCGAGGACAGACCAGCCACACGGACGGCGTCGGCTGGGAGCGGTCCTGGGCCCGCCGTAAGGGGTCCCGTCAGCTGGGTTCGGTGCAGGACCGATGGCGCCGAGAGCACCTGCCTCCGCTGGCCCGGTACCTACCGTGGAGGGTGATGTTGACCCGATGGCGCCGAGAGCACCTGCCTCCGCTGGCCCGGTACCTACCGTGGAGGGTGATGTTGACTCCGCGGAGGCCGAGAGCACCTGCCTCCGCTGGCCCGGTACCTACCGTAGAGGGTGATGTTGACTCCGCGGAGGCCGAGAGCACCTGCCTCCGCTGGCCCGGTACCTACCGTGGAGGGTGATGTTGACTCCGCGGAGGCCGAGAGCACCTGCCTCCGCTGGCCCGGTACCTACCGTAGAGGGTGATGTTGCCTCCGCGGAGGCCGCGAGCACCTGCCTCCGCTGGTCCGGTACCTACCGTGGAGGGTGATGTTGACTCCGCGGAGGCCGAGAGCACCTGCCTCCGCTGGCCCGGTACCTACCGTAGAGGGTGATGTTGCCTCCGCGGGGGCCGAGAGCACCTGCCTCCGCTGGCCCGGTACCTACCGTAGAGGGTGATGTTGACTCCGCGGAGGCCGGGAGCACCTGCCTCCGCTGGCCCGGTACCTACCGTAGAGGGTGATGTTGACCCGATGGCGCCGAGAGCACCTGCCTCCGCTGGCCCGGTACCTACCGTAGAGGGTGATGTTGACCCGATGGCGCCGAGAGCACCTGCCTCCGCTGGCCCGGTACCTACCGTAGAGGGTGATGTCGACCCGATAGCGCCGAGAGCACCTGCCTCCGCTGGCCCGGTACCTACCGTAGAGGGTGATGCTGACCCGATGGCGCCGAGAGCACCTGCCTCCGCTGGCCCGGTACCTACCGTAGAGGGTGATGTTGACTCCGCGGAGGCCGAGAGCACCTGCCTCCGCTGGCGCGGTACCTATCGTAGAGGGTGATGTTGACTCCGCGGAGGCCGAGAGCACCTGCCTCCGCTGGCCCGGTACCTACCGTAGAGGGTGATGTTGACTCCGCGGAGGCCGACCTTCATGCCCACGGCGGCGGTGTCCAGCTCGGTACTGGTGTACGCTTTGTAAGGTGCCCTCGTCGTCAGCCTGGCCACCTCCCACTCCATGCCGAAGTTGCCCACTGAAACCGAGCCGCAACCGGACACTAGATTCAGTAGTGTCCAGACAGCAGCTTAGTGGTCCACGATCGCGAGCAGTTACTTTGTACACGAGAAGGAAGTACCTGGGCACAAGGCCGTGCGGTCGCTATGTGCGTGTTTTTCGTGCATCGGGCCTGCAGTTAGTACCGCAGGGCAGCCCACCGGTCAGACAGCAAGTCTTGCATATCAAAAGCTGAGGTATCAAACTGTCTGACTGCATCCTTCAGGGTGAGCATCGGGGACTAAATGCTATCTAGCATCCGATTCGACGGGTTTGACAGATTCACATTCGGCAGATAGATCCAGCCCGTTCTGTCTGTGTCTCTGAAGATCCTCAAAAGCTCCCCGGAAGCTGCGTGTTTGTCGGTAGCTCCCGCGGGTAACGGCCCAACCGCTCATTAGTGACTTACGCATCAGAATAAGGCCCACCACACAGCTGCACGTGACCCGGATCAGGACGAACCACCTCTGAAAACAGCAGTCACAACGACCTCACAGCAACGACAGTGACGAAGGAAGCGACCGCCACATCAACTGCAACGGTGGAGATAAGAATATCAGAACTATGACTTCAATCGTGACAACAGACGACATCAACTGCAATGCCGGAGATAAGAATATCAGAACTATGACGTCAATCGTGACAACACGATACAAATGTGCGCGGCAGCAATCACGACTTAGCCAATAAAGCAGAGCTCACCCGTTTACCCTTGTAGCCCGGTAGAACGAACAGGAAGCTGATGTAGATAATGGCAAAGGCAAAGATCCAGCCGGCCTCGAGGACATCAGCTGTCACGGGCGTCTTGTTGGAGGGGAACAATGACGCGAAGCCCTCGATTCGACTGGCGCCGTAAAGACCCATCTCGGGGTGATGGTGTCCGGCTTCCGGAACGGATCGCAGCTCGGGACCATTCACAGCCCTGGTTGCTAGCTGTTGAAAGGCAGACGCCATTGTGAATCAACAAGTCAAAAGCCAAAGGGCTTCTGCAATCAACGCCAGTCCGTAGAGTACTGAAAGTCGGTGACAGTCGTTACGCCCACCCAGTAGCGCAGGCAGGGGTGGGGGGGGGGGGGCAGAGGGCACATACGCCTCCCAACCAGGTTTCGAGAAGTCCGAAAGCCTTTCGGGACCTACGATTCAGGGCCCGATTTGAGCGCCCGAAGAGCCTGAAAGGCTACTTGGAGGCCGTATTCAGGGGCCCGGCCCACAGGGCCAAGTAGTTTAATGGATTCAGAGTGCCCTCCGAGTTAATCAGGGGCCTCCGGGATCGACGAGGGCCGATATGTTGGTAAGACACCACCAATAACGCACAGTCGGCTCCGTGCTGGTGTAGGCCTGTGGGCCCATTTTCCAGGCAGTGACAAAGCAGGAACCAGCGGTTTACATTGGTCGGGGCCCTGCCGTCTCTCAGGGCCCCGCAGCGCCTTATAGGAGCTCTGTGTTGGTAAGGGGCCCGAGTGGGCCAGAGGCAGCGCTCGAAGAGGCCTGAAGAGAATGGAGGGCCTACCGGGAACTATGATCAAAAGCCCCATTGGAGGGCTTACGAGCACAAGGAGCTGGTTGGGTCTTATTCAGGGGCACCAGCTTGCGTGAATGAGCCCTCAAATGACAGCCAGAAGGTCATTTGCGTTGATCGGAGACCCCTGAGTTTATATGGATCTGCATGTCGGTCAGACGCCACAAACACCCCACAGCCATCTCTGTGTCGGTAAGGGCCTGAGGGCCCACTTCCCAAGCAGTAATAGAGCCGATGCCAGCAATTTACGCTGGTCGGGGCCCCTGTATCTCTCAGGGACCTGCAGTGCCTAGGAAAGGGTCCTGTGTTTGCAAGGGGCCCCGAGCCGACCAATAACAGTGTTTGATGAGGCTCGAAGAGGGGCCCGGGCGGCCCAGCGGAACCGACGATCAGGGGCTCGGTAGGAGGGCATAGGACCCTGAAGGATTATCTACAGGTCACAGAGGGAGCCGCGCACCATAGGATCATGATCTGATATATCACTCAGAGGATCTCTTGCACAACTTGAGGACTCTGAAACAATTTGGGTGTCTCGGTCGGCCAGAGACCACGAACACGGAGCGGTTGGCTCCCTGTCAGTCTGAGCCCTGAGAGCCCATTTCTCAAGCAGAAGCAAGGCCGGGGCCACGACTTGCACTGGTCTGGGCCCTTTAAATATGGTTGGGGCCCCTGTGTCGGTCAGGGGCCCACAGTGCCTAACAAGTGATCATGTATCGACAAGTGGCCCCGAGTCGGTTGCGGGTTTTGTTTAAGGAGGTCCGAGGAGCAGCCAAAGATCAGGGTTCTGATTGGAAGGCTGAAGGGCCCAAATGACTGGCTGTGGGTCACATTAGGGACCCCGTCCCTGGGGCCAGGATCCCAAATGTCAGTTGGATAATTGCTTGTGCTTATTGGGGCCCTGAGACAGAGCGTTCCTCTATTTCGGCCAGAGATCACCAACACTGCAGTCAGCTACGTGTCTGTCTGAACTCTTGGGGTCAATTTCCCAAGCAAGGACAACGCCGAGCCCGCCATTTGCAGTGGTCGGGCCCCTGAAATAATGCGGGGATCCTGTATCGGTTAATGGCCCAGTGCCCAACAGTGTTAGTTGTGTTGATAAAGGGTCTCAATTCGGTCGGGGAGCATTTGCTTAACAGGCCCGGGGGCGGGATCCAGAATGACAGGGGACCTCTTGCGTTGGTCGGAGCCCTCTGAAAATGAAATGAAACATTATAACTTTTGATGAGTGCCCACATTGAGACAAAAGAAGGGTCCTGTGCCAGTCAGGGTCCCCAGTAGTGGACGATGGACTCTCCAAACCAATCCCAGCATGGGCCCGTCAAGCCAAACTGGAGTTTATGCGTCAATTATTGAACCCCCTGCGGCGATTAGGAATGCTGTTGCATCAATGCCGGTTCCTGCGTCAATCCGGGGCCAACTGCGCGGGTCAGAACGCCTCATGCGTAAGAAAGGGACTAATTTGACATGATGCATCCCTCTAGGGGCCTCCGGATCGACCAGGAGATCCCGCCCTGTGTCGCCAAAATAGCAATTGGAAAACATCCCGTGGTGGAACGGAATGATCCCTCAGCTCCTACCAGCTCCTGGACGAGGGCGTCGTATTCACATTTGTGATGCAGGGGGATGGCAAAAACTTAACGATGAACCCCAAGCCCTTACAGGCCCTTATATTTCAGAACAAGCGTGCAACCAGAGCCTTACAAAGGGGGGGGGTCTCAGGGTTGACAAAGGCCCTCTGACAGTAATATCCCCCTGTAAAAGAAGCTAAAAACTACTGCGAGATCAGTTCTGTCTGATCTTTATAGTTAATAAACTGTAAAACCGTGCGTTAAACAATTGCACGGAATAAATCAACAGCCCTCTTCGTCTTACAGTGGTCCAAAGGACTTTTTCTAACTCGATAAAACTCAAAGGCTTTGTCAGAATATTATCTGGGCTGTACAGAGATATGAAGGACCCCGCGAATATACACTGGAACGCGTCAACAATGTGTTTTAACATGGCCAAACCATGTTTGTGTGGAAATGTTTGACGTTTAGTCAGAATTAGTTAGAGATACAAATTATGTGACGTAGTTCTAAACATGAGCGCTCGCAAATCTTGCAACAAATACCTCCCAGGCCGATATCTGAATTCAGCGTTGGAAATGGCACGACCAACTGATTAAAAACCAAAGCACTAAACGAGCTCAATCCGCACCCTCTGCAAGGTCCGTGTCACCGAGCCTCACTGTGCGTCCTCTCACCTGGGCGAGCGGGGGCGGTGGGTCCGGCGCTGAACGCTGACCAGAGGTGGCTGGACTGCTGCTGGCGCCGCCGGCTGCTCCCTACACGCCGGGCGGAACCCAGCACGGAAGCGTCGCATCTAGAGGCATGCTTATCGCGCACGGCCAGCAACGCCGCCTGCCGAGCCGGGCCGGAGCTGGAGCCAGCCGACCGGAAACCCCTCCGTGCAGACCACTGGCAACCGCCGACCGAGGCTTGCGTCACTCTGAGATACTGATCGACTGAAGTGGCGTTCTGGTCCGAGCTCAGACCAACCGGCATGTCGACATGTGAATGCTGCTGCAGTGATGTAGGACAGTTTGAAAAGATGGTCTGGTGACAGACCGGGCCACTGCCAGTAGGGGTGAGGGGGGAGCAGGAGACATGAGTGTGGTTATGTAAGATCGGTTGGTCTTTGAAGTGTCGCGAGCCGTCTCATGAAACATGATTTTTGCGAGATATGTGAGAGCTCTGTTTGATGTCAAAGTTTCAGTTTTGATTTGGAAGACTTCTGGTCTATTTTGCAGGCACATCCAGATTGCCGTGTTCCGTACAAAGTCGATATTCACATGGGGCTCAGCAGGCAAATAACCGTAAGGGACCGCTGTAGCAGAAATCGGAAACAGGAGGTTTGAGGACCTTAACACTAAGTTTTGAACGCATATTAATTTCCCTTCCGACCACAAAGAAGTGTCCACAACGTGCTCAAAATCCCCTTTCGGATCTCCTCACCGGCTGTCCAGGATACGCCACCGTTGGCCTTGTCCTTCCCAAGCGCTGGATGTAACAAAGCTCCCTGGCTCTGTCCCTGACAATCATGTAGTTCATCGCACATTGCGGGGTCCTAAGCAGCACCTGGGTGCTCACAGTTAAGAAGCCCTTGACCGTCTGTGGCTCCGTGTACGACCTTTGGCTGCAGAGACCGGCAAGAAGCGACGAGACTATTCGAGGCTTCAGATTGTCAAGTGGCTTTTAGCCCGCCATGATGGCTTTTACACTGAAGAACCCAAAATGAGAGTGTTTCTACAACGAGAGAGGAGCAAAAAGGGTGATAAAGCATGCCTAATCTTTGCAGACTTTGCATGCCACTGATATCAACCGATAGATTACATATATGCATGTGGAAAAAGCGCCATGGTATTTCCGGCGTACCACATATTTAAAACATAAGATATTTCCGTTGACAGTTATCGCAGTAAGCCTTTACAGGAACTAAGTGGTCCAAAAAGCCTTCTCACAAGAATCGTCATAGGTGTATGTGTTTTCACCACACATAATTGTAGCAAAACAAAAATAAATACAAGCGAAATTCCATAATTTTGTTGTATTAGGAAAACGACATCGCAATACGATTGCATTGATCCAATCCTTTAACTTCGATGATACTTAGGATGACCCTTTTTGCGCGTTCGACGACGTTTATCAGATGCGACTGAAAAGATGAGCGTGCGATAACAAAATTGATCCGCAGAATGTGTGAGGCACTTTGAACTTTTAAGGGACCCGACAACCAAAGGTACCGGGATGGCGCTATGAACCAAGAGAACCAAGCGTCCAAAGGCGACCAATTATTCCTGGGGCAGCCGGCAGGCATACAGCCGTTAAATGCTAACAAGATGAACAGCTCTTGTGAATGGCTCTAAGAGTACTACGGGGACATGGGCAGTTTCCGGACATTGGTGGTCAAGAGCCCTGATGGCCAAGGGACATGAGCAGGTCAAACGAGGGAGTGGGGGCCAACACTCAATGCCGGGCATTCAAAACGGTTGCGCGAAGCAAAAATGAGCTCCGGGATTATAAGCGTGCCACGGTGCGTTTGAAAAAGCCCGCGACTATCAAAGAAACCAAAGTGGTCAAACCTATCGACAAACCTAACAAATCCTCGACATTCCTGGCCCCGGAGCTGCTCAACACCTTAGACCAGCCATTGGCAAAGGTTTCGAGGTGATCATAGCGTCAGAGACTTCAAAGAAGCCTTGACGCTTTGAAAGATTCAGCATGTAATCGAGAAAACCCGGCTTGATTTTGACTGTCTGAGACATTCGGGGCGGGCAATGCTCCGAACCAATCGGGGATGAACCGGAGGGGGGGGGGGGGGCTCAAGAATCGGAGCTCTGGGACAGTCGGGAATGGACAATACTTTTGAAATGGGCATTGAAAAAGGGTATGGGTGGTTATGGACCATTTTGTTTTCGCGGAAGCTGATACCTGGCTTCCTGCTGATTCTGGGAGTTAGTTCACCTGGCAGGGGGGGGGGGGGGGGGAGGCGGGAGCAATCTTGGAGATGTCTACACATCTCAAAGCCCCAAGGTGATCTGGGACCTCTCGATTTATATGGGATTTGAGACGGTCACGAGTCTTCAGGCGATCAACATATTTCTGAGACAAACTATGATGAAGATGTTTGATGAAGTGACATGGAGATGTTGAAGAGTTCTGAGGCAATCTAAAGGGAATAGGTGCGGGTTATCAAGCGGTTTATAATTTCTTCATAGCCCTTTCATGTTCATCTTGCGTATATCAAGTATAGCATTCCATCAGTTGTCTTGGCACGGGACGTTGGTGTGGTCCTACCAACAACTTCTGGGACCGACCCTCTCGTTCCCTTTCGGAACTCACAGCAAAGGGGCTCAGACGTTGAACATCTAGTTAACTATTCAACTGCGCATTAACTAACTCAACTGGAGAGCGTAGCGGCCGCCGCTGCGAGCGCAGGTGCTTAATCGGCACCCGGCCGCCGTCCCGCGCTGCTCTGCCCGGCCGGCGTGCCGCCCTGCGCCGCACCCGGCCGCCGTCCCGCGCTGCTCTGCCCAGCCGGCGTGCCGCCCTGCACCGCACCCGGCCGCCGTCCCGCGCTGCTCTGCCCGGCCGGCGTGCCGCCCTGCACCGCACCCGGCCGCCGAGTCGAGCCGCGCCGCGTCGCGCCAGCATTCCTCACCGGCCGTCGCCCACCTAGTGAACTCGCCTGCACTCTCGCCAGAAGAGGGCCTGTGCTCGGACACAGCCATACCGCTCAGGCTGTGCACTGACACTTCGTCTGTACTGAAGAAATCGAGTGTGCAAGCCTGCGATGAAAAGGGCGTCCAGTTGTCACAAATGCACACTGAATGTAACAATTCTTATTAGGGAATGCGTGTGATGTTATGTCTCATTTCCGTTGGTGCGTTGGCAAGCATGTCAGTGTGTGTCGTCTTACCACAATGGAATAGGAACTGAACTTTTTTAAGGGAATGTTTCACATTGGAAGATGTGATAAGCATCAGATATTATTATTAGTATTATTATTATTGCGAACCTGGGGGAAATCCAGCGAGAGGCTTTTCTAGCGCCGCGCCAGTACATACTACATAGATCAACACGGAGCACGCAATACCTGCAAATGAGACGCAACGCCAGCGATGCACGTACGATGTTATAAAACATGATCGACTTGTGTTTTAATCAGCACCTGCACATCATCGCCAGTTGGTAAATTGAGGTAAGTTTTCTGATGAAAGACATTGCTTTGCCCTTGATCTCAGTTAAGTTTTTACACTGGCGCGTGGCAGCAGGGAAGCGATTCCGCGCCGCTACGGCTGGATAGGGAAATGCCCTTTTCACGCACTCTAAGCTAGGGTGTATTTTTAGCGCTCGTTTGCAGAACAGTTTCGTCATCGGTGGCTCTGGTGTGCCGCTGAGATACTTCAGATCGGCGCCTGATCAGATTACTGACACCAGGGCCATCAGGCACATAAATGGCGCGATGCAAACTTGTGCAGTTGCGGTGGGTGACAGTCTTGTCGAAATTTGGCCAATTTTGCTGTTTTCGAGATTCCGTGATGTGGTCTCGTTTGCGTTTGCCGGCAGCAATTCTGACCGCGAAGTTAATAACTTTATCCAGGCGCTGGCGCTGAACGGCTGTTGTTGGGACCCATGCAGGTAAACAATATCTGATGTGAGGGAAGACCAGTGACTCAACTAGGGACTTTATTGTGGAGCTGGGAAGCACATGTCTAACCTTGTTAATAGCTACGAGGGAGCCAAAACAGCGCTGAGTAGATATGATGGGAAAAGCTTATTTGTAAATATTGGTAAGCTTCCAAGGTTCAAAAACGACTCTGCCACACGGTATATTGTTTGTCATATGTTCCTTATCTGGGCCCTGCTCCTGTCCGCCGTCGGTGGGCACTGCCCTGGCCCGGATGTATCCCCCATGACTGACTACGAACTGATCGTGTGGCTGCTTTGTTGCATACTTCGGACCAGCGTTACTACTACATGGTGAATGAAAAACGTGTTGGACACCTACAGCAGTATCTTTTTCCGAATTATCTTCACTCACACCACACCATCGCAGAAAAATAGGCTCCGGGAAGCTGTCCGCCTTAGGTATGAATTAGCCCAACGGACACTTCATTGCCCATCATGCAACGTATACGATTTGATTCGCTTTTGTGTGTGGGCAGAGGCGCAGCCAGAGCCTTGCCAAGGAGGAACACAAGGTTGGCAAAAGCCCATCTTATGGTGATCCTCCCAGAATCTCCGGATATAGCTTACTTGTTAACAAGTGGCACGGTTTTCTTCGTCTTATTGTTCGTTTTACCTTGTAACGAGAACAGAAGCCAGGAGCTACCGTGAGCCCAATTCTGTTTGCATTTTGAGGTCAATAAACTGCAGAGATCAGGCGTTGAACAACTGCAAGGAAGAAATCACCGGCGCTCTTAATTCACATGGTTAGTTGGTTCTTTCTAAATCGATAGTATTCAGAAGCTTTGTCAAGTCTTTTATCTGGGTTCTACAGACATTAAGGACATCGCGAAGGTAGATTGTAGGTCGATATGTTTGATCCAAATTTGAAGATGAAAATGTGATTGCAGATCGAGTGGTCAACAATATGCATTACATGGCCAAGCCATGTTTGTCCGAAACTGTTCACCATTCAGTCAGAATCGATAAGTGATGCGATTTTTGTAACGTGTTATTTTTAACATGCGCGCTCGCAAATCTTAGCAACAAAAACCTAGACACCAGGCGTTGCAGTTTGCATAGTCCGCGTAGCGTTAGCCCAGTAGCTAATATTTAGTCGTGGCCGACCGGTGGATGAAAATTATGACGCTTCTGAAATGATTATC